GATGTAGAGAGCGGCCAACTCAGTAAAGAAGCGAGCATTGGGTGCAATCAGTTGGTTAGAAGCCTCCAACTGATGGCGGTATGCCACTGCCCAATTATCCACTTCAACATTCCTTTTGGACCACCAAAACAGGGACGAAAAGGACGTAGCACGGTCAAGGTGACCATACACATGACTAGGCTCCCACGATGCTTTGGAGCGCGCAAGGGCCTCGGGGAGGGAAGAGACCAGGTCAAACTGCGCCTGGTGAGGGGAGACTCGATTATCACTAAAGGTATTGAGAAGAGCGGAAAACCCATCACACGCTATCCTTACGCGGGGTTTAGATTGGAGCGTAGGCGCCCACTGTTGGAGCAACCAGTCAACAACCATGATGCCTGGGAGCAAGCCGATCAGTTCACTCCGATAGGCGCTTTGATCCTGGGGCAAGCCGGGAGTCTGGCACCGAACAATGACGCGGTCCTTCTCCCCTTTTTGTGGGAGTAGTTGGACAGCCGCCGTTCCCAGGGCTTGCTTGTATGATCCGTCGCTGATCACGCAAAGATGACCAGAGAGTAAGGCCTCCACCAGCCGTGCTTCATCACTGACAATCTCAAGTTCATCGGGGGTCCATCCAAAGTACTCGTCAACTTCTGCCAAAGCTGATTCCCAAGCAGTGAATAATGACAGGTGGAGGACAGGTCGTGGAGACTGCTGCTCCAGGCCCACCCCCGAAATCACAAACTCCTCTACCCGATGCAGTGGCTGGGTTGTCACTCGGCATACATCATCTGGGAGTGGCTTGGTCCAAAAGGGAACCGACGGTGAGGTGGCTTCGGCGACGTCCAAGAAGTCATATTCAGCATTGGCACTCTTCTCTATGAATCGTTCAATACGGTTCAAGAGTTTGATCGGATCTTCAAGAGTAGTCGTGAAATCGGCATCACCTTGAGTTGGATTTCGGTTCTGGCGGACGTAAGACAAGCGACAGGCTTGTCATGGTCCAAACCGATTGACAACTTTTTGGCCCATAAAGCCATCATTGCCAACCAGCCGTGCCAACATACGACCCATCAAGTCGTCATGCAGAGGCACCGACCATAGTGATCTCCGATCCGTCTAATAGAAAATAATCATCTCTACAGGAAATAACTATTCTAAAAGACTTGTTATCTACATGGAATGGGCAAAGCAAAAGCATTGCACGAAAACTCAAATTTCCCAAACCTTTACTGGATGTTTGCAATCCAGAAAGGCCGGTACAAAACCCACGTACAGAACTCCCGCAGGATTCAGTATGGGATTTTCGTGGCGCTCAGACGTTTGATGGTCCAAGCCCACAATTCCATGTTTTCAGATTCCCTGCAAAACCGACTCATAGGAATCCCCAGAATAAAACGGACCAAACGGACATTTGTCCGTCTGTCCAATCGGACGTGTCAAACTGCTTCCATCAAGGAGTTTCCAATGAATGGTGTCCAAGAGAGCAATTTCAACACCTTGAAGCTTGATATCCATCGCCGTTGTCACAAACTTCAGCATGATGTTTGATTTGACGGTTCTCTTGTTTGTCTCGAAGTAGGCTGATCTTCACATGTTCTCGTCAAGCTTTGCAGAATAGAGAATCTTGTTTTGGGCCATCTCTGTTTCTCTTGCAACAGCTTCAGTTTGAGTTGGAGCGTTCCATCTTGGAGCAATTGCATTGATTTCACCATGTCTTTGGAACATTTCATTCCAGAAGCTTGGATGTAGTCAATCACTCTTTCCTCGGCATCTTCGTACGACGATCTTGACTTTCCATCGTTTTCAACTTTCGTTGAAAATAGATGTTTCTCAACTGTTGAGCTCAAATTGCTCTTGACTTTCTGAGGAGTCACACGTCCTCTTCCACCACCGGATGAAGAACATCCCATCGCCAACGAATCACTCACTTTTTTGTAGATAAGGCAGTGCTGTTCTATAAATTTGTTTTGTTGCCTTTTGTGATTGAATGTTAGAATAAAGCAAAATGTGCTCTATCGTGAGTGCCTTTAGCGCTCAGAACACCAATCTAAATTTGTAATCGACTGTACAACACTTTCACAACAATAGTTTTCCTGTGTCTAGGTATACTTTGAGTGAAATTGTTCCTATTTAATTAATATTTGGCTTGAATTGATGATTCAATCACAAAAGTAAGTTCAACCATTTGCAATCCAGAAAGGCCGGTACAAAACCCACGTACAGAACTCCCGCAGGATTCAGTCTGGGATTTTCGTGGCGCTCAGACGTTTGTTAGTCCAAGCCCACAATTCCATGTTTTCAGATTCCCTGCAAAAACCGACTCATAGGAATCCCCCGAATTAACGGACCAAACGGACATTTGTCCGTGTGTCCGATCGTACGTGTCGAACTGCTTCTATCAAGGAGTTTCCAATGAATGGTCTCCAAGAGAGGAACTTCAACACGCTCCTAACTCCGAAGATCAGAGTAGGAGAGACGTCCAAAAGCGTGATGTTCAGCTGGAACATCACATGAGCTGCACCCCATGTTGCTAAAGGACAGGCACATCAAATGGTGGACTGGTGCGTGTGTGTGTGCAGTCAGTGATCTTGGAGGACTTAGCGCTGGCGCTCCTGTTTTTCCCACAACCGCCTCGGGCAAGAAAAACGGAAAGTTCTCCACGGTGCGGCTGATGTTGGATCCAGCGCTGCGACCGCTCCTTCTTTCGTCCAAGCTTCTTGCGCTGAGGAAAGACCGCCTCTGTGGGTCAGTTCCATGGCGACTGTCCGCTCTTGGCCCTTCTTGGCTCTTGGCGCGTCGCTCTTTTGCAAGTTCAATGGGAAGAAGAAAGACACGGTGGGAGCGGTGGAAAAACAACAATCAGCTCATACAACCGTTACGAAACGCTTACCATTCTCCCCACCCTTTTTTCCATGTAGATATAGTTGGATTTCGGTTCTGGTGGACATCAGACAAGCGACAGGCTTGTCGTCGTCCAAACCGATTGACAACTTTGTGGCCCATAAAGCCATCATTGCCAATTAGCCGTGCCAACATGCGACCCATCAAGTCGTCATGCAGAGGCACCGACCATAGCGATCTCCGATCCGTCTAATAGGAAATAATCATCTCTACAGGAAATAACTATTCTAAAAGACTTGTTATCTACATGGAATGGGCAAAGCAAAAGCCTTGCTCGAAAACTCAAATTTCCCAAACCTTTACTGGATGTTTGCAATCCAGAAAGGCCGGTACAAAACCCATGTACAGAACTCCTGCAGGATTCAGTCTGGGATTTTCGTGGCGCTCAGACGTTTGTTAGTCCAAGCCCACAATTCCATGTTTTCAGATTCCCTGCAAAAACCGACTCATAGGAATCCCCCGAATAAACGGACCGAACGGACATTTGTCCGTGTGTCCGATCGGACGTGTCGAACTGCTTCTATCAAGGAGTTTCCAATGAATGGTGTCCAAGAGAGCAACTTCAACACACGGCTGGTTGGCAATGATGGCTTGATGGGCCACAAAGTTGTCAATCGGTTTGGACGACGACAAGTCTGCCGCTTGTCTGATGTCCGCCAGAACCGAAATCCAACTGTTCCTTTGTTCTGCGTTTTGCATATTCAGTAAATTCTAGGAGTACATTGGGACCAACAAGTAGTGGAATTGGTGTAAGTGATTTAATCATGTTTCAACTCAATAAGTACTTGCAATACGTACCTCCTTCATTTCAGAGTCTCCTATGCTTGTGAGACCAATTGTTTTCCTGTTTGAGACAGGTGGCCCATTCTCACGGTGTTGTTGGAGGACAACATGGTTGTGCTCCTTAAATCTAAGGTATTGCAGGGCCTTATCCACATCAGTTCCAGTTAACGATTGTGGAAGTGCCGAATCCTGCACTGTCTGCACAGTAGTCCTGGATATTCTTTTCTTGTAGGTATTATAAAAACTTGTGATAACAGTAGCAACTGGAACAGTCAATTGAAGCTGGAACATAGACTGAATATGCCTAGCTTGCTCGTCATTCAAGTCACTGTAGCACACATCATTTTTGGAGTGAAGAGACCCAGGTTGTTACAAGAATGAGTGTACTTCAACCTATTGGAAATTGGAACAAACCATGCTCCTTTGTTCTCGTCCCATTTGATGTTGATCCTGAACTTGCATGTTTTGTCAGGTTCAATCTCCCTTTCACTCTCAGCTCTTCTTGGTAGTGTCTTTCCATGGGAGCCATGGCTATTTGTTCTCCTATCGTTACGTATTGTTGAGTTCTTGTAGTCAGAAACAGTCCTTGTATCTGTTTTCCTCCTCTGGAACTTTTTGCCATATCCACAGTCAATACGATACATCTTATTCACTTTGGCTTTGGGCCCTTGATATCCTTGCTTCACAAGGTAAGATCCATTTTCAAGGGCAACTCTTGTGATATATGATTGCAATTGCTTTAGGGTTTCCCTCAGAGGCATTGCCATATGATTTCTTTGCAAAAATATATTCGCCAGTCATGATACATGTTTCTCTTATCCAGATAGCAGGAGGAAATATCACATGTTGCTAGTGTACCAAAGTCTGGCATGTCATTCTTTCTAACAGCCTTGGTGACATTGAGTGGAATGATTGACTTCCAGGCACAAGGGGACGATGTGTGTGCTGCCATGGGAGTGAAGTTGTTGGTGTGAATTTTCCAATAGGTCTCTATGGGGCGCCAAATCTGACTTCTGGGTATGGTTTATGGATCCTATTTTTGAAAGCGCTCTGATGAAAGGGACCTCTTGGGAGAAGGTGTCAAGCCAATGCTGATGATGTGAAATGAGGGGATGTCATTGGCTAGTTTGGATGGAATTCTGCTTATGTATGCAATGACTTCGTTCTGGATTGGAACATTTCTACCTTCAATGGCAATCATTATTTTGGAGTCCAACAGTTTTACACCTCCTTGGGGACTCACTGATTGCTGTGGTCTACCTTCTCCTCGCGGAACTGACATTGTGGCGGAAAAATGAGCCGGCATGCCTCCAAATCAATCCGGTAAGTCCATGTGTGTCAGTTTGCGCGTTCTTTTTTTTTGCCTGCCATGTGACTCACCACTTTTTGAATTTTCCGTTAGTTGTCCGCATGGCGGGTGAAGGCCAGACGGTTTGGGTGACTCCTAAAAGACCTTGATGGTAGGACTTGTGACGGTGTTGGAGAAGGACTCCTTTTTCATTGAATTGCTCCAAGTCCTGTAGTTTTGTCCCTTTGTATGGCTTTGATCTATAACAGGTCAACCATCCTTTTGATGCTCATAGGTAAATTCACTTCCATGCTTTAGGCCAATTAGTTTCAAATGGTGAAGCAAATCTTTGAGGCCTTGTTTTGTAGGTGGCCATTGTTTTGAATCAAATCTTGCTTTTCTTGTTTCAATATCATGCGTCACGAATGAGAACAAGTCAGCGGACTCACTGCCGCGCCAATGCTGGGTGCAAGTCCCTAGTCAAAGGAGTCGGTCTGTAACAAGGTCTACAGTCATTCCGCCGTCGGAGCCATCCAATATTGCATAGAGCTATCAAGGCAGGCGTGCGGCCGGCTGGCAACATTTGGGAGAGTCTTATCTGCTGGATTGTCTGACCAGGAAACGGTTAAAAAGCCAGTGAAATTATGGAGTAAAAGGTACATTTTTAGCTTCTATGCACGACATACAGTGGGTGTCAGCAGTAGCAGTGCTTGAAAAGATTTATTTGTCCTAAATATCTTCAAGCGTGCCAGAAAGCATGGAACGCCGTTCTTTCGAACTATATTTCTCCTCTTTTGTCTTTTCTTTCGCATAGTACCCTTTCAAAGCACCCTTGTTGGTAGCTTTGAACGGCGCCAACTTAATTTTTGGTTTTGGCTTGTCTTCCTCCTTGAACAGATCTAGCTCTTCTTCTAAGTTGCTTCCATCCACATCATCTTCTAGCAACCTAGCCTTGATTGGTGTCTCGTCTTCGGATTCAGATTCTTCTTCCTCAAAAGAGATTGTTTCTTCAATAAGAGGTGGAGGAGCCACCTTCTTGGCTCTGTACTCGCTGAGATCAGGTGTGCCACGAAACCAGTTGTGCTCCAAAATATCATGAGGATGATTGCTACCGAGTCTTTTGGTGGGATCTTTTTTGAGCAGTTTGTGACACAAGTCAATTACCTCCTTAGTATAGTCACCTTCCATGTCATAGGGTACCTCATCTGCAATTGCTTGGTAAAGCGCGAATTGCTCCATGCCTTCGTAGAAGAATGGGTTCTCTCCACAAACCATCTCATAAATGACCACACCAAGTGCCCAGTAGTCGACATTCCGATCGTGCCCCAAGAGTTTAATAATCTCTGGAGCAACGTAATTTGGAGTCCCACAAAATGTAAATGTCTTGTCTCCTTCAGCTACATGCTTTGCAAAACCAAAATCTACCAAAATGGGATACCCATCCTCATCAATCATGACATTCTCAGGCTTGAAATCGCGATAACAAAATTCATGCTTGTGTAGAAAGGCCAAAGTGTCAATTAATACACAAGTGTAGAAACGGGCTCGAGCCTCAGAGAATCCGGATACCCAGACATCAGGTTCATCTTCCCTGTGAACCTCGTCCCAAAGTTCCGTCCCCCGAATCAGCCCGAGAAGCATGTCGATCGAATCCTCTGTTTCGTAGACGTGCACCAGATTCACCACAAAGGGATGGTGTACAATCTTCAAAGCAGTAATTTCTTTCCAAATTGCATCTGTCGGATCTTCCCGCAATTCATCATCAGTAATATCCTGCATTTTGAGAGCATACTGCTGTTTCTCCTCAAATTCTGGTAGTTTTGCTCCCACAAGCCAAACCTCACCAAATTGACCCTCACCAAGCAGCCGCACAAATTCGAGATCTTCCTTGGAAGATGCATGCTTCTTGACACCAAACCGAGCCTTTTCTTGCTCTTGAAAGATTGTAGAGTCGGATAAATCCCAGTCTCCAGCGATGGTTCGAGTTTTCTTTCTCTTTTCCTTTTTCGCGGGTAAAGGCTTGGGTTTTGGTTTTTCCTTTTGTTTTGGTTTCTCTTTTTGTGCCTTGATTTCTTCTTGCTGCATGATACCTCGGAAAGTCGCTTGATCCAGCTCGAGCAGTTTTGTATCTTCGGATGCTTTGATTGTGGCATTATTAGCATGTCTGTATAGCAAGCGCTCTTCATTAAAGGCAGTTCCAGCTTCGGCAGTGTCCACTGTCACCCCATCCACGTGAAACTCGAGCCTTCCGGATTCGACAACATAGTATTTATCATCCTTTTCGTCCATTTCACCTTGCTTTGACAAGACTTGTCCAGATTTAAGTTTGATTTGCTTCATTGCGGCAATGAGACGATCTTCCGTTTTCTTGGAATTGTCTCGAAGAACGACAGATGCTCCAATGACCTTTTTAAGTATTTTGTTTTGCCATTCAGTTTTCTTTGTCTCCTTCGGCGCAAACTGTCGCAAGTCGAATTCGAACTGGGGTGCGCAAACCTTCCGCAGCGACACCGGCGGTATTTCGGTCTTTTCGCCCTTGCTTTTTGGATTTCGCTTGGCTTTTTTGAGTTTGCCAAAGTCTCCAATGTAATGCTTTGCCTTGAATTTTCCCTTCAGATACTCTTGCTTTTCAGCAACAGTCATTCTCTTTTGATCAGCATTGAGCAGGGCTTGCATATTCGTTCCCACGTTGGTCTTGATTGGCTTCAGCGTTGGAGCACTAGAAGGTCTTCCTTTTCCAGCTTCCAGCAAACTACCCTGATTGATTTTGCTTTCTCTGATTTGCCTTTCCATTTCTCGCTGTTGCTCTTCAGTAAGCGTTGGCTTGACAAACATGTAAGCGAAGTCTGCTGTCCCGCCGGATTCTTTGCATTTTCGTCCCCATTTTCCCTTAAAGGTCCGCATCGTTTCGTTTGGAATCTCAATCACCTGAGTGAGTCTCAGATGAAACGAGCGACGTGTTGTTGTGAAAAGATCGAATGGAATCAAATCAAATGAAATTTTAAATCAACAGCTGGAAGACACAAAATACAAAAACGGATGGGTGGGGCTTGAAATTGACAACGGATAGTTTGGTATTGGCAATGAAAAGGAGATCGTCATAAGGCCAACGCTATTGTAACAGCATTAAAGCGCCGCAGCATTGCATGAATCTGCAAACGGTACTGGTTCGAATCACAAAATGACTGAAATCGTGTCGCATCGACCTTCTGGTCATTTCCAAAAAGACTGTAGACCATGATGTCCGTTATTGATTTTATGGATACAGGTGAACCAGCCTAGAAGAGATAGGAATGGGTCACAACAGAAGTTATCGTTTAGTCGGAGCAATCCCGTACGCGCAGCGTGCGTAACACCACGTTTGCAAATTCAACCCCTCTAATCTCCCTCAGATGAGTCATCTAGTAATGTGTTGTTCACTACTAAATTGTGCGCCATCCTTCAAGCTTTCGAACGGTGGTAGGGAAAGCAGTAGAAGACTTTTGGTTCAATATTTACAGTAGTGTTTATACACGGACCCAATATAATGCGTAAACAATTGGCCCAAAATGTGTAACTCCTCGACTTTTTCACATATTTTGGCTATCGAAATATTCATCGACAAGTATCATGCCTACAAGAACTGCCAATCATACTGTAACTACCAACCCCAACGGAAACGAAGAAGGCCATGTTACCCTTCCGTTGGGCTTTGTTTCGAGCCCTCCAGTGGTTGTTCGGAGAACCAATACCTCGCCAGCGGGGCTAACTCTTCTATCTGAAATCTCCTCCATCACTCTTCCTCCTTCCGAGGAGGACGAGGACAACAGCAATGAAATCTGTCAACGATCCAATGCCCCAATAGATACATTGGAAGAGTTGGTAGACTCTGACGATGACGATGCATTGGACCGACTAGAACCTGACGACAACAGCATGGGCGGGGAAGAAGACTTCCAGGTCCTCACGATCGAGGCGGAATCAGCAATAGAGGATAGGATGTATCAGTTGTGCATCGCTGGCAAACCTGAAGGTGAAGAAGAAGACCACTGTGTGTCCAAGAAGGACGTTCTGATGGAGATGGTTGATCTAACACCCGAGGTTAAGATCCCTGGCATCCCTCCCAACTGGCAACCGACTGAACCAAGAGTCGCCAATGGTGAAGTCCCTTTTGATGAAGTCGACAATCCAGGAAACTGGAATGAGTATATCTACCGCGGTAAATTGAACAAGAGCAGGCAATACAAAGGCCACAGCCTACCTTCTGGTGCCCAACCCGTTCCTGTTTCGGAAGGGGGTAAGCGAACCATCAATGGATGGGAGTTTCACTATGGTCCTTGGACTCCTGATGATGAAGGAGATGATGGACCAGGATCCTTCAGAAGCGGTGCAACAACGGAAAATATGTTTCCGGAAAGTCGCAAAGGCTGCTTGAGTGTTGCCACACTCAAGTTGCTTGGCCTCACCAAGTCGCGAATGGATGGCGACGATGCCCTGTTCTTCTACCAACTGTTGTATCCTATCTGTGACCCAAAGAGGTCTGGTGTTGCAAAGGATCCACGCGAAGCGTATTACTTTGATGTCGAAACCTTCACCAGGAAATATGCGGCCTCCTTGGAATACGGTGGTTCGTATGGCCAGACTATCAAGCCTGTCCTGGCGGCAGAACTTCTGAAGTTCCATGGCATCATGGTTCGAGATGGCGTTCATGGAGGCAGCAGGGGTGCCGTCTACCGTCTATGGGACCCAACTTGTTCATGCTATGACAAAGACGTTGTGAATGCACTCAGCCTCTATCGATTTCGACAAATCAAAAGGATCATCAAGCTCAATGATAATGCCAAAAGCAAACCTCGTGGCCATGAACTGTACGATCCTGCACATAAGTATGACATGGCATACAGAGTGGTCGTTGCTAACTGTAACAGCTTGACACTGTATGCGGAGAGTGACTTGTGCTGTGACGAGATGACATGGAAGTTCATGGGGTACGGAGAAGGCGGCGTTGTCCGACGAATCGTAGGTAAGTCCCTTGTCTTTAAGTGTCAGGAGGTGGTTCTTAAAAGTCGCGATCGTGCGTGATGTCACAATTAATTATGTCTAACTGTTCTTTGTTGCTGACGCTTCATAGGGAAGCCTGGAGTTACCAAAGGTGGTCAAGTCGTAATGACCTCTGATGCTTCTTGCTGTCGTCCTCGGGCATACGTCCATCGTCACACTCTACACCACCGTCCGACAGGCTTTGCTAAACAGGGACCTAATGAGGTCCGAATGATTGTTGAGAAGCTGGACTGCTTGATCTCCAAGGAAGATGGCGATGGTAAAATCTTCAGAGAGAAGCCCCACATCACTCTTGACAACTTCTTTTCTGGTGATGAGACCCTTGACCATCTTGGCGAACTCGGATTCGCGGCCACCATGACAAGTCGCAGAGACCGGCTGCCCGCAGGTGTGCCCAAGCATCACTTTCATCATGAGAAAGGTCCTGTTGATGACCGCAGCAAGGCCGCAAGATTCATCCATCCTATCACCTGTGTCAAGAAGTTTCCCCAAGACGGCGAGAAGAAAGCCTACACGCGAACTCATGTCTCCTTCCAGAGCACTGGCTCTACCAACTTCTCCACTGTTAATGCTATTAACTCTAGTCGACTCTATGTTGTCAAGAAAGAGAGAGGTGTTGGCAAAGAAAAGAGAATCTGGGGTGTCGAGAATAATCCCGCAAGGACCCTCTACCTCAGCCACTACGGTAGGATCGACACTGATGATGCTATGATGGCCGGCACTCAAATCCAATACCGTTCTAGGAAGTACTGGCATTCTGCAATGCTTCATGGTCTTAGGCTTGCTATTGTCACTGCGTATTCTTTTTACCTGGAAGCCAGCAGTGGGAGCTTGGATGCCAGTTGGAAGTTAGTGAAGCCGATGACTTTCCATCAGTTCCGCGACCGACTGTCAACCCAGATGCTCCAATACAAGCCAAGGTTCAATATGTACCCAGGTGATTCAGGATTTCGCTCTGTTACAGTTCTTTCAAAGAAGGCACGCTCCAAGACTCATGTGGTCCCAAGCAAGAGATCTCGCCAGACTGCGGTGTCCGTCAGTACTGGTGGTCAGCACTGTGTTTTGATTGACGAGTTGGACAATGCCAGGAAGAGTAAACGATTATGTGGTGCCTTCAACCATACTGAGCTGTCAAAGCACCTAGCATCATTCCTTGAGAAAGGAGCTTCGATCTCTTCAGGTTCAAAGTGTGCTTGGTGCGGCGAGAAGGCATACCAACGATGCACCATTTGCAAAGTACCCTTACACAACTTCCCAGCTAAGGGAATGCACAAAGGTAAATCGTGCTCTGTGGATTGGCACAACGATAGCAACTTTGGATTGGGGTACAAAGACTGCAAGAGCCTCGCCTCCAAGGCAAGTGTCAATTGGAGTTTGCCATCTTTGGCGGCCAAGAAGGCTAACATGGAGCACATTGATGGACTTAGTGGACCTATCTAACACTACACTATAGTATTCGTATTATTGTTACTATTTATTGGTCTTTTGGCTGTAGTTTTCTACGATACAGTATTGCAATAGATGCAATGGATGTTTCGGATTTTTGTGGGGTGTTGGACCTCCACGTGGTGTTACTCCACGTAAAAATATCGCGCAATATCGTGGTGTCGCGCAGCATTTCGTTTGCTCCGACTAAACGATAGAGTCTCTCAGAAAGCCACAGAAAGGAGTGACGTAAGAGTTAGGCCTAAAGCTATGTCTGTACCTCCAAAGGGTCTAATCTAGTTCCAAGGTCACTCCAAGGTCATTACACTCTTCCCTTCTATGATCAGAGCCAGTCGATTGATCATACACTAAAGTCACAAGGCGTTCTTACATCCACATGATCCTCCATTCAACTTCAGAGGTGGTTCTTGACGCAATGGGCGATGCAAGTATATCGTCCATTAGACTCGACGGAACGGCACAAGCCGTCTGATGTTGATCCTATCACAGATCGCATTTGTGCGCTGAATTTCCACTGTACCATTAGTGGACCTCTTTATTTTGGATCCAACTTTCTTCCATCAGTATTCTTGATCAAAACTTCTCCACCAATTGATAATATTGTTCCTGATGCTGGTACTGCTCGGCACTTGGCATTCCGCCATAAGACATTCCGTCTTGGTTCCATTCCGGAACCAGCAAAGCCTTCAGCTTCTTGATTGTAGTGCAACTCAGCATAGAGATTTTGACTGTTTTGTTGATGTGATTGGCCTCTGCCTTGATAGTTTTGTCCTGGCTGAAAACGACCAGATTGGGAGCGTCCACCATGCTGGCCATTGAATCCACGGCCTCTGCCACCATTGTTGGGGTGTCTTGGTTGAAATCGTCCTTGGTTCTGTTGCTGGGAATTGCCTCCACGTTGAAAACTTTGTGAAGTCCCTTGAGAATATCTTGGAGAGCTCGAGGGACTTGGATATGGTTGATAACCATTGCTTGGTCGACCATGACCACGACCACCACGAAAACCATTGTGGTGAAGGCCTCTACCGCCTGTGCGATTACCAGGTCGAGTTCGACGGGGAGAACTTTCCTGCATAAGTCTCTTCCTGTCCACTGTTCTTTTCTTCTCTGTCATCCAACTGACAATATCCTTCCACATAATATTATTGTCGTTCGCCGGATCATTTCGCGAATTGTTAAAATCTCCCTGCCAATCAATTGGAAAGGAGCGGAACAGTGCCAGCTTTCTCTTCCGAATTTGCCCCGGATCGTTCTCATCGTTCACTTTGGAACAATTTCCAGGAAGCATATCATGATACATAAATAGGGTTTTTAAAAGCGATTTGCGTGTGTCAGATAATCAACTCCGTAGCTGTAATGAGAGCCTCAACGCTCTAGCTACCTCTGGAGTATACTGAGCTCGAATCTACGTCGGCTATGGATTGCCTACAATAGGAACAGGTGCCAGTGATGCTGGGCTTCAACCTGCGGATGAACAGTCTCACCACTTCCTATTAGATCTTATTCTACTGCTATTCTTGTCAGAAGTCGATCAACAATGATCTCCACAAGCAGGTACAAAAAATCTCTTCCGGAAGCCACCTGCGTCAGCTCTCACCAGCTGTCGCGGCGTATAAAGCACATATGCACATGTTCTTCACGAACTAGTCACAGAGTAGATCTACCTTCAATACTTATCCATCTCTGTACGTACTCGAACCGTACTTCTGTCCGTGTTCGATATCACCAATGTCCGACTTCACTGTCCGATATGTTCGACTGTTCTTTTACCTATCAAGATCCCATTTCACCAACACACTCCTGTCGTATCGACGACTACAGTTGCGACAACGAATCCTTTTTCTTTTAATATGTAACGTGTATATATAACCCAAGAAGGTTATATCTAATCTTCCTGATCCCCTTGGATCAATTCCCAAAATTTGCGGAATTTTTCCCCTTGCAAAGGTTTCGTCATATAATCCCCCCACATGTCATCGGTCGGCATGTGTTCGATCGTAAGATTTCCTTTCTCAACCTGATCAGTGACAAAGAAATAGCGGATGTTCAAAGCGCGGCTTCTCTTTCCTGCACTCGATCTCCCGTTCTTTTCGAGGAGAATAGAGCTCATGTTGTCTTGATACAAGATATTCTTCTCAATCGGATAACCCTGTTCTTCCATGAACATGCGTGTCCACAACACTTGTGTGATCGCATCATCTACTCCAATTAGTTCCGCATGTGTACTGCTGCGGCTGTTTAACTTCTGTTTCTTGGACATAGCCTGCATGGCTCCACCACCCATGGTCATCACTCCTCCTGTGTGACTCTTGAAGTCAGGGTGAACCGCAAAAGACGCATCAACATACCACTTCATTACACGAAGGTTGTCAGCGCTCAGCGTGAGATGCCATTTCTTGGTAGAGTGCATGTATCTCATAAGTCTCACGAGTTTATGCCAATCACTCTGATTTGGGTTTTGAACTCGTGATGCCAAAATTGCCACCGTCGGATGCATATCCAGACGCGCGCGTTTGGTCAAAAACAAATGTTTTGCAACAAACCGGTGAAACTCGGTCTGTTGATCTTTATTCAATAGTTTTCCTTTTCCTACCTCCAGCAAATTATTGCCAGCAGGTGTTTCCTGTTTGTCATCCACTTTAAACTTGACAGAAAACTCATCAAGCATTCTTTGAACATAATCGTCCATTCGAATCTTCAGCTTGCCTTTCTTTGAATAATCCAATGTCATTCCCAGGTAGGTGTGAACTCGTCCACGTGTACAAGTCACTTCCTTTAGTCCTCCGTATCTCTCATTTATCCATGTAAAGAAATCCTCAAGAACTCTTTGTTCCATGTGGCTACTTAGCACATCATCAACATGAAACCTGATAGTCCATTGCTTTTCGTTGACCATCATATTCGCAATGCACGGATCGTATACATTAAACACGAATCTGTATTCTTCCAGCGATGCCCTCAGGTTTCGGTACCATAACAACAAAGCCTGTAACATCCCATAAATAGCACGGAGGATCACAACATAGATCACTCGACGTCCATTTTCGATTACTACAAAATCCCGATACGTCGGATCTAGGTCAATCATGTAGTCGACCAGCAGCCCAGTAATTTTCATTATTACTCGATCTTCTCCTTCTTCCTGCTCGGGCATTAATGTTTGGATAAACGCGTTAGGTATATCCATTGACATGACGTTTCTACCTTCATGGGCATCAATTACACCCGTGCAGATAATAGCTTCATGCGAGGCTGTGGGACTTGCAGTGTCTTCACAAGACAACCAATCCCGGGTCTCGTTACCTTTGAATACACACCGCCCTTTGATTGTTACGCCATCATTCTTTTCGGCAAGTAGCATCATCGCATCTATACTGATCGGTGTCCAGCAACTGCGCTTGATTAATTGGTCAAGTTCTTTCATGGCCGTGTCTTTACCTCGCTCCTTGAATATTTTTAGTCCTTTATTCAGATAGTATTGCTGAATGAACGAGACTCCGTCTTGTCCATTGATACCACCGTTGACACCCTCGCGTATTTGCTGAATAACACGAGCGACTACCAACGCTTCGTCAGCGTCATATTTGCCTTTGTTTGTGTTCCCGACTTGTTGGAATGCCAAATTGTGCACGCGTTCTCGGATGGAACGCTCGTGCTTAAGGTTTCCTTGCAACTGTGCTCCATTTCTTTGCGTGTGAATTCGTTTCTTAATCGCTTGATACAGCAAGACTCGGAGTCTTTTCATTCGTGCCTTTCTTCTCATCGCACGCCTGTTCCTCAAAACGTTTGGCACAGACGGATTCCTTTTTTGCAGGTATGCCTGTCCAAATCTTGATTTCTCTCTTCTGTATCTCTCAGTGGGTCTCATTTTTGCCCCTTGTGAGAAGTAGGATCGATTGTGTCTTGGGCGAAGTACCCGTTTCGCTCCAACTTCGACGCCGTCGTCACTGTAGCTTCTTACAATTCCTTCAGTGTTGGACTCATCATCATCTGTGTCCGCGAATCTCACTCCTGCGCGAGCGACACCATCTACCTTCGTGGGCATCAATGACACCCGTGCAGATAATAGCTTCATGCGAAGCCGTGGGACTTGCAGTGTCTTCACGAGACAACCAATCCCGGGTCTCGTTACCTTTGAATACACAGCGCCCTTTGATTGTCACGCCATCATTCTTTTCGGCAAGTAGCATCATTGCATCTACGGCCTTCTTTCTTTTGGTCGGTTTTAGTTTCTCAATACTGATCGGTGTCCAGCAACTGCTCTTGATTAATTGGTCAAGTTCTTTCATGGCCGTGTCTTTACCTCGCTCCTTGAATATTTTTAGTCCTTTATTCAGATAGTATTGCTGAATGAACAAGACTCCGTCTTGCCCATTGATACCACCGTTGACACCCTCGCGTATTTGTTGAATAACATGAGCGACTACCAACGCTTCGTCAGCGTCATATTTGCCTTTGTTTGTGTTCCCGACTTGTTGGAATGCCAAATTGTGCATGTGTTCTCGAATGGAACGCTTGTGCTTAGATTTCCTTGCAACTGTGCTCCATTTCTTTGCGTGTCAATTCGTTTCTTAATCGCTTGATACAGCGAGACTCGGAGTCTTTTCATTGGTGCTTTTCTTCTCATCGCACGCCTGTTCCTCAAAACGTTTGGCACAGACGGATTCCTTTTTTGCAGGTATGCCTGTCCAAATCTTGATTTCTCTCTTCTGTATCTCTCAGTGGGTCTCATTTTTACCCCTTGTGAGAAGTAGGATCGATTGTCTCTTGGGCGAAGTACCCGTTTCGCTCCAACTTCGACACCGTCGTCACTGTAGCTTGTTGGTGAAATGGGATCTTGATAGGTAAAAGAACAGTCAAACATGTCGGACAGTGAAGTCGGACATTGGTGATATCGAACACGGACAGAAGTACGGTTCGAGTACGTACAGAGATGGATAAGTATT